AAATTAGGCATACGAAGCTCTAACTTAAAATGTTTTTTTTCTTATTTAACAGGTCGCTTTGAAATAGTTAGAATTAAGGGAAATTTTTCTGAACCATTTCAAGTTAATTCTGGCTTGCACTTCAAGCCTTAAATGGAACGCCTCAGAGCGAGGTAACGACGCATGAGTCATGTTTTTTCGTGCGTGCAGCCGGCTCCATCGAATTATTAGACGTTGTCATGTCAATAAGGAAAGACCGAATGTAAAGATAGGGGACGAAAGATTAAAAGAAGTGGCTGATTTTAGGTATCTGCTAAATTTTACAGCCGTCGAGTTCTTAGCTCTAGGAAGAGCTGAACTCAAATGGTTTACCTTAACACAGAACAGTGTTCACAACCTGAAGCTAGGAAACTATCGTACCTGTAGCGTAGAATTATCGTACATGGAGCAAAATTATCGTACTTTTCAAAATAATCACTATAATTAGTAAATTACTCGTATTAATCGTGTAAAAAGACAGATCTGAACTACTCCCACCCTTTAAATTAAAAATCAATAATAGAAAAATACTTAAATATAACAAGATATAGGGGGTGGAGGTACGTTAGTGGGGTGTTTTTGACCTTAGGCTATGGTTAGTGACTACATGACTACAATCACAAAATTGTGGATGGGAAGACCATCGACCCATCTGGTGACCAACACGAAGGGATGTTACCTGCCGAGGAAAAACCTACATACTAGCATGATAACGTTCTTTTGTTGCAGGCACGTTCTTCTAAATTTAACACTGCGTATAACAAAAATGTTTATAGCGCTGTGAGCAAAAAGAAAAAAAAATATTCGCGAATAAAAAAAAGTCTTCGTGATATTGTCTGAGAGGGTAAGAATAAAATAAATTTTGAATGCATGAAAATTATCGTACAATCTGCGTACGATAATAATATGATATCGTACATCGTACGTAGACATGAAATTATCGTATGTGTACGATAATTATCGTACGGTTCTGAACACTGACACAGAATAGCCATCGTTCGATGCGCATCTGTTGGGTCACGTCTCGTTGGTCCAGCAGTACTTTTATTTATCTTGACGCCGCATTTAAATATCATAATAGTCTGAAGTTTTAGCAAATTTCCAAGTGAAATACCTACTGGGATAATATTTTAATTGAACCGTTTGCTCCTTTTGAAAGAGAGACATGTCAAGATAATAAATAATGATAATCACTAATTAAATATTTGGGATACTGTTCGAACTTTGCAGTTGTGACTTAAGGTCAACATGGTATCTAAAGATGATGTTTTCTGAACGTTTTGTAGAACAGATCAATCAATGTACACACACACTATCTCCTGTTGTAAACATACTAAAAATAAATTGAGATACATATCTCCATTGTGTTGTAGAGGACTTAGTAGATAATAACATTAAAGGTACTAGTCCCCCCCCCCTATCAGTCATTGTGAGCTCGAAACTGTTAGCACCATTGCTTCGAGTGGTCGAAATTCACTTTTGTGAACAATTTATTTACTGCAGTTCTTAGGCTTTCACGGCCGCCGTATATCGATGCTGTGTTTTTTTCCGGGCTTTTTGGCCATGGTAAAGTTCTTAAATCTTACTTTTCCAAATGTTTCGCCGTTCTTTGCTGACGGCATCTTCAAGCAGGTGCTGATTCGTAACATCAGTTCAGAACGGCGAAACGTTTGGAAAAGTAAGATTCCATGGACCACGGCCAAAAAGTCCGGAAGAAGACACGGCAACAACAATTTATTTAATCACGTTATTTGTGTTAAAAATTGTTTGAAAAAGTAAATTTATAGGAATTGTTTCTAAATAGGTATGCAACACATCGTACACTTCAACATAAGAAATTGCTGATACTAACTTTAATTTACGTAATACTACTTTGCCCTTTGCTGACAATACTCATAATTTGTTTTATATGTAATACGCAAAACAAGAAACACAAAATTACCTCAGTAGCTCAGTACATAATTTTATTGACGTACATAATACAAATATAGCACGTGCATACCTACAATCCTATAAAAATGCAATTTATCGTCTACTTGTAATCATATTATCTATCGTGTTAGTAACGCGTGGCAAGGAATTCACATGTCACTCAAACCAACACTTTAATTCAGAAGAAAATAGGGATTAATAGTAAAGGAAGTGAAGTTACAAATTACTGGAAAAACTCTAAATAAACTACCTATTCACAAAGGTTTAAGTATTTCTGTTAGGTTAATGAGTGAAATGAAGCACTTTGAGAGTTTTCCGGGAGTTTATTCTACGTCCTCTTATTTCAAGTAATAATTCAAAACTATATAAAAATATGTTGTAATGTTAAACTCACAATCAAACTGATACCTTTCTTAAAAACAAACTCTGTCAGGCACTCTTATCTAAAAGTTCATCTTTATAATATCCTATAAGGTTACATATATCAATATAGATCAAGTGATATGCCTGAATTAATTCATACAAAATAATTTAATTACAAGCTTTGTTTAAACATTTTATAATGTAAATTTTAACAATTTCCCACATCCTTTACTATTTGTGAACAGTAATCTAATCTAGGTCTACCTTTACTCCACTTAAGTCCTGTTTTTGCTTCTAATATGTCTACAACTAGCCCTTCATGCTAGGAAAGGTGTCCTACCAACTTATCTCGCCTATTTCTTATTGATTTCCATTATCGCCCTCTGTTATCCTACTGTTCCTAATATGTCCTTATTTCTAACCTTCTCTATCATTCGTCTGTAACACCATATTTCGAATGTTCCTAAACTTTTCCGATAAACCCACCGTCCACCCGTCTAAAACCGTGCTCCAAACGTATCTTTAATAATTTTTTTTTGAATTTCATTGTATTATAATATCTAAAATTGTAAACTATAAAATTCAATCTGCCATAACTAAAATCATAACCAGTAAGCATAGCACCATTATAAATAAGCGTTTATTTCTTTCAGCAACTATAGGTAGGTATTGTACCTATACCGCTTTTTACAAAACAAAAAGAGAAAATACTGAAATTACCTTTTGCACCTCACAAAATCTGTCTTTTCCGCGTATCAAATTTTTAGTAAATTTTAGAAATTTTTCATTTAATGTAAATTTTTATGATACAAAGAACCAATAATAAAGACCCTTTTTGGTCATGTAAGCTGTTTTTTCGAATCCTTTCCGTTAATAATGCGATTGGGAAATATAACTTCTTATATTCTCTCTCAAAAGGTTAATGTATTTGTTAGAATGTAGATTTCCGTTAATAAAAAGACGGCCTATAAGAGAATTTCCCAAAATTCCAACCCATACTTTCCTAAAATTCTATGTTGCGAAATACACACTTTGTAAATGTAAGAATTCCTAATTGGCAAGGCAGAAACGGAAGTAGTAAATTACTTTGTGGTTAGTTTTTGTGGATCATTTAGTTTGCATTAAGTTTTGTATATACAACTTATCTTAAAATTTATCAATGTTTATAGGGTAGGGATTGTAAAATATTTAGGTCCAATAATTTACACGAGGCTTAACATCATCATATCATCATAAGGTCGTCAGTCCTAAGAGTGATTGGACACACACCTCCACTCTTCTCTATCCTGAGCTAATCTTCGCATTTCCCTAAAACTAGAACAACCCACATCCTTAACTATTTCTGAACAGTAATCTAACCTACCCTCTACTCCTCCTAACTCCTGTTTCTGCCTCTAATGTCTCTGACTAGACCTTCATGTCTGAGAAGGTGTCCTACTAAATTTTTAGTCACTTAATTTCAATGGAAAAGCTTTAAATAATGCTAAATCTATCACCATAGTGCCTATTATTATTATTTAAATTTGCACATTTTTCATCATTCATTGGGAAAAACCAAGTTTATGCCTGTATTCGGTTATGGTCAACAAGCTATTTCTTCGCGATAGACGTGTTCGTCATACTACAGCTATATTGAACTTGAAATGGTTGGATTATCGCCAGCAAGGAGTGAAAATACCTAAACCGAAGCTTCGCCAAACGATAAAGTATTATGGCAGTTTCACAACAAATTTATGATTGAATCATATCAAAATTCATGTAGGCAAGGAATCGATGGTATGGTATGGTATGGTACAACAATATCTACGGACCCGTTGTTAGTTAAATAATAAAATGAGGACTACTACTTGCTTTGCTCCTATTATTAGCTACAATAATAATAATTTAATTGAAAAAGCAAACGTCCATTTGACAGGAGATTTAAATCAACAATTACCGATTTTTATCGATTAACATCATTCTCTATTTGATACAATATAATGTGTCTAAAGATTGAAACTTCTTTACGCACGGTAGGGTAAGTTTGTTTCATAGCAGTTTCTATGCATTGAAATCATGCAACGAATGTCCCCCCTCTACTCGGCCACGTAGTCGAGTTCGTAGTGGGGATCGCATGAGCCGCGAGCGCGCTTCAATGCAACGTTCGTTACAGGCAACTCCGGCATGTATAGTGTAGCCCTAACAAAATGTACGAATGTATTTGTATGTGTTTGTGTATGTGTGTCTACACTCTACAGTATGTTTGTGTGTTTGAACAAGTTTCACTTCACTAGCGTGCTGTACAATTACAAGTTGTATTTTTTTTTACTAATAACTTACTTTAATTCCAGTGATAAATTGGAGTATTGTCCGGTTGTAATGAATTGTATTTATATTTTCTGGGCCATATTCGGTAGCAGTATTCCAACAATTTAATGTTGTTTCGTGCGCTAAACCAAAGTATGAAATTCCGTCTTTGTCGATGGCCTCAGCTGCACTTTGAGATGGTCTTGTTCCATTATACGTCTGAATCACAAATTACATGCATGACATAGCAACAATTGTTTTGCTAGATTTTCTAAACTCCTTGATATGAAACTATTGATTGAAAATAATTCATGAAATTTTCACCAAGAGCTAAGCCAAGTTACTATTAATATCACTATTGATTGAACTGAATATATGAATTATTTATGGAAAAACAAAAACTTACATGGAATATTTCTGGGGATGATTGGGGATTACTCTCAAACCTGGTACGATTTCTGAGATCTGACGTGTAAACAAAGTTCTCAGTGATACTGGACATGGCGTGATAGAAAAGTATTCTGTCACTTCCGGGTTTGTAAGGTGAAAGATCCATGCCCAATATTCCATCCAATAAGTCGAAGCTAATTCCTGAAAAAATGTTTATAAATTACTGTTCCCATTTTATATAAGAGTGTATTTTTTATTCATAGTAAACAAGGTAAGAAGGTTAATAAAGTCTAAAAGAATAGTCACGTAAATTCAAAGATAAAAACTAGTTATCTTTTATCGTTTGGGTTTGATGGGATACAGGCAGAAATTTTAAAACATATAGGACAAGAGGTTAGAGATCGCATGTTTAAGCTGGTTAGTCACATTTACGAGATGACGAAAATTACAAAGGATTATTATAAACGGAAGGTGGCAATAACCATATCTAAAAAGAGAGGTGCAGATACCATGCAAGACATTTAGAACAATTACTTTAACTTCCCATGCATCAAAAATCTTAACTAGAATTGTATAAAGGAGGATGGAAAAACGAGCGGAAGAACTATTAGGGGAAGATCAATTTGGGTTTAGAAGAAATAGAGGAACGCGGGAGGTCATTCCAGCTTTACGGATAGTAAACGAGAAAACGACAGAGAAAGGAATTGTATTGAATAGGATTTGTAGATTTAGAAAAAGCTTTTGACACTGTTAATTGGGACAAGATGTTAAATATACTTAAAATGTAGGAATGAGTTACAAAGATAGAAGAGTGATACTTAGATTGTATAAAAAGCAACAAGCAGTTATAGAGATGTGGTTGCAACGTGGAGAAGTATATATTAGGAAGGGAGTCAGACAATGATGCACACTGTCATCACTACTTTTTAATCTATACATCGAAGACGCGATCAATATCATCAAAGACAGTACAATTGTAGGGATAGATAAAGAGGGGCAAAAGATTAGTATGCTTAAATTTGCAGATGATATAGCAGTATAAGGATCTAGCAAGGAGGAGTTAGAGATAGCTTTAAATAAAATGGAAGCGGTACCTACAAAACAGTATTGTACGTAAATAAATAAAAATGAAACAAAAATACTGATATGCAAGGGAAGAAACAGTAGAGAAAGTGCGAATATAAAGATGGGAGATGAAAAATTAGGAGAGTCGAGTGGCCTTCAATAAAAAAAGTTTCAAAGTGAGTGGCTACTTTAATAATGTGAGACCAGAGTACATGCATACTCAATTCACGCTTACCTAGATGTTTCTTTTGTAAATGTGTTTTATCAACCTCTCTATTAAATGTAATTTTCAAAATTGTTTTAAGTTTGTTCTTGACTACTGAAAATGTGGTGTGTAAACTTCTTACCATGAATATCATAAGTTCCAAAGTTAGGATCAGCGTACATTGTTTCGTCAGTTGCTCTCCATGAGACTCCCAACGTTGGGTTGTAGACAATGATGGAAAATGCTAGAGCATCTGCGACATACACCATGGTGTCGTTGCATTCTTCATCTCGCACATCTACAATCGGAGTTACGAAAAGTGATCTGTACTCGTATTGACTAGAAGGTATTTCGTATCTATATAGCAATGTATCCTAAAAATAAATACAGTATTAAAATGTACAACCACCGCTCCTTTTTCAATAATATAAAAACCCATGCACGTATATTTATAATATAAACACAATCACGTGTTGAAACGTTATTAAAAAAAATGGAACAGGGTCATATTGTTTTTTCTTTTTCGTTAAAAAGTACATTATTATTTCTTCAAACGTTCACATTCTCTATAATATGAAGGTACAGGGTTTGTCCGGAAAGTAATAGGACTGATTTCCTTCCGCAGCGACTGTAATTCGGAGCGTGCGCGAATCGACTGGATTCGATAGAGAGCATTCCTAGCCAACGAACGAGCGGCTGGTGAGTTGTCTCCGANAAAAACCCATGCACGTATATTTATAATATAAACACAATCACGTGTTGAAACGTTATTAAAAAAAATGGAACAGGGTCATATTGTTTTTTCTTTTTCGTTAAAAAGTACATTATTATTTCTTCAAACGTTCACATTCTCTATAATATGAAGGTACAGGGTTTGTCCGGAAAGTAATAGGACTGATTTCCTTCCGCAGCGACTGTAATTCGGAGCGTGCGCGAATCGACTGGATTCGATAGAGAGCATTCCTAGCCAACGAACGAGCGGCTGGTGAGTTGTCTCCGAGCACCTGGAGAGTCAGAACAGGATTTTTCGCGCAACGTGAAGTGGTGCAAAAGCCGAAAATGCAGCGTTCTTTAGAGCAGAGGTACGCGATTAAATTCTGTGTGAAACTCGGTAAATCTGCGACAGAAACGTTTGATATGATCAAGCAGGCTTACCCAGATGTTGCTTTAGCAAGAACTGGTGTGTTTCGGTGGCACCAGGCCTTTTCAGAGGGCCGGGAAGAGGTCGCCGATGAAGACCGTGCTGGAAGACCTTGGACTTCGACAAACACCGACAATGTGACTCGTGTGCGCGAAGTTTTGAACTCAGACCGTCGACTAAGTATTTGTTTAATTGCCCAGATATCAAATTTAGCAAAATCTGTGGTTCATGACATTGTGACAGAGCATTTGAACATGCGAAAAGTGTGCGCGAAGATGGTCCCAAAAGTGCTCACTGTCGACCAGAAATTGCGGCGCGTGGAAGTGTGCCAAGAAAATTTAAGCATGTGTGAAAGTGACCCCCAATTTTTGAATAACGTAATCACAGGTGACGAGTCATGGATCTTTGAGTATGATCCTGAGACAAAGAGGCAATCTTCCGAGTGGCACACGCCGGCGTCTCCTCGCATTAAAAAAGGGAAGAATGAGCAAATCCAAAGTGAAAACGATGCTCATTGTCTTTTTTGACATGAAAGGCATCGTCCACCATGAATTTCTTCCTCCTGGACAAACCGTCAACGCCAAGTTTTACGTGGAAGTGCTCAAGAGACTCAAACGAAGGGTCAATCGGGTCCGACAAAACATCGCAGCCGACTGGAAGTTGCACTACGACAACGCCCCGGCTCACACCGCCTTTCTCGTGGACAGCTACCTGACCAAGGCCGGCATCCCAACTCTTCCGCAGCCGCCCTACAGCCCAGATGTGGCCCCACCGGACTTTTTTTTGTTTGCTCGCCTGAAAAGGCCGATGAAAGGCAAGCATTTTGAGACGACAGAGGGGATTCAAGCAGCATGCACGCGGCTCTTAAGGCTATTCCGGAGAATGCCTTCCGTGACGCCTTCAATGCTTGGAAATCGCGCTGGCAGCGCTGCATCGACGCAGAAGGAGCCTATTTTAAAAGTTTTTAAAGAAGCGTAACGATTGGCTCAATAATTTTTTTTTATTCGACTCTGCCCT